CGGCAAATTCTGAGTGTCAATCGTCATCGGAATGCGAAAGGATTGACAGATCAAAGCATAAAGTTCCTAAAAAGTCTCGGCTTTAAAGTAATTTCTGGTGGAAAGTAACTTGCATTTTTTTTGTAACTTTTAACGAAATAATGGAGTACGTTCTAGAAATACAGTCACCTGTCGCCTTTGATGAATCCTTGGCTCATTATAATCTCATAATATCTCATATAATCTTATACTCATCAACCGTACACCAATACATCTTTCAAAAATAGCGATAAAATTCGCATATGAATCCAACATCAAGACCTGTGTCTTTTACCATTTCGTGGCTCATTGCGAATTTGTGATAGATTGTGTGACGATAAGAATACAGTCTTAACGAATACTCTATTCCTGAACAACGCCATCTGTCACTTGTTTGAGGAAATTAGGTATGAGCAAAATGAGATAGAAATCGATAAATGCAAAAACGTTGGTCTAAAAATTATTATGAAAAATTGGCTATCACTTAATCCCAGTCAAAATTAGATTGCTGAAAATGCCGGATGGATAATAGAAAATGATCAAAAAATAATCAACGACGAAGGATATTTCGATGTCACTATTCCTTTAAACTTCATTCTCGGATTTGCTGAAGATTATCGCAAAGTATTTATAAACATAAAACATGAACTAATTGTCACACGATCGTGCAATGATTTAAATGCCATTATCCAAACAACAAAATTAGTAAAATTAGAAACAATCATCGAAAACTTCAAGATCGATATAATACGCATTGAATGGCTTATGTCGTACGTTACTGTATCAAATACTCAAAAAATCCGTCTACATGATTTTCTGAAAAGAAAAAGAAGCATTTCAATGAGTTTTCGTAACTGGGAAGTTTATGAGTATCCAATGCTACCTATGAATTCAAGTCATGTATGGATAGTCAAAATTGCAAATCATATGGAAAAACCACGTTATGTCATCTTAGCTTTTCAAACAAAACGAAAAAATATTTCAACAGTTAATGCGAGCGTATTCGATTATTGCAACAATAGTGACGTGAAACTTTTCCTCAATTCTCAGTGTTATCCGTATGATAATCTTAATATTGACATAAATAAGCATCAGTTTACAATTTTTTACGACATGTATGTCAGTTTTCAGAAGGCATACTACGGTAAAGACTTTCAACCGACGCTAAAAAAAATCTAAAAATAAAAAAAGAGTGGTTAGAATGATATGAAATAAATTCAATGAAAATCTTTCACAGATTAAGCTTCCGTTCACATTAAATACAAGAAATTAACCTTACATTAAAGAGTTTTCCAAATAGACAATTAGCTTCACTTGCTAGTTTAATTTGTAAAAATAGTATTGAATATGTGATTTCTTTTCCACGAGTCTGGAAATCCTTTATAATCTGTTCAATCCAAATAAAATAAAGCAAAGATTCCGCCAAACAACAAGTCTCCAAATCCACCAAACTTAGGTCTCTCCAAGTTCAGTCAACTCAAACATCAGCTGAATGATATGCCTTTAAATCCACCAAACACTGCTCACTCTCAATCAATCCAGTAAACCTTTAGCTAAATCACAAACCTTCAAATCCACCAAATCCTGCTCACTCCAAATTAATCGAGTAAACCTGTAGGCAAATCACAAACCTTGAAATCCACCAAAGTCTGCTAATTTCGTCTTCGACCAAGTAAAATTTTATCAAATCAAATCCTCTTCAATCCGTGTTTAATCAAATATACCATTAGCTATACTACAAGCCTTGAAATTTACCAAACCCAGCTCTAAATTTAAACGCTAAATTTTCATAGCACATGTGGTATCCTAAAGCCAAACAATTTATTACTTGAGCGATATTTTTTTTAAGATATGGTAGTCATTTTAATGGTTGTTCCTTGAGAATGTGATATGTTATATTGGAAATTTCCGACAGCTATCTAGCATAGATATGTTCATTTTAGCCTATACTTTTCTTTCTCGTATTTTTACTCTTACTCTTCCTGCTCAAATTTTCTGTACCCTGAACTTAAATAACTATCGTACTTGGAGTTGAAAAGTCATTTTATGTTTTCTTTTCAAAACGTTAATTTTAAAAATATCTTAAATTAGTGAACGGTAGACATTAGAAGATTAAGTTAAAAAAAGACTTAATTTTAATACCTTGAGCCATTAGATCGTAAGTTCAGAAACCACGTCAGCTTAAACACCAAAACTATTAATCTTCGAAACTCAAAAACGTTTAGCCCGCCAATTAAAACAGTACGTGCTCTTATCGCAAAATTTGCGAATCAACTTACCTGGATCTATTAATATTTAAAGTTATTGTAACGCACAAAGCTTCATTTTGTTGAAAAACTTTAAAATTCTAGAAGTCCAAAGAAATTGTCATTTATGTTTTGATTGTTTTCATTAAATCACCTTTAATATTAATAGTTTAAAATATTTTGATTTATATACTCTTATTTACAAAACTCTTTGTAAATATTTTACCGTAAAAACTCATTGAAAAACAGTTCAATTTACAATGTCTTCACAGAAGGATCCACAAATATTTTGTAATATTTGTGCTAAATTTACTCCTTTGAAATAGTATGAAACAATAACAGAGTATGTAAAAATAGCTTATGAAGCATACGAGAAATTTAAGAAAGACTAATTTAAATAAAAGTTAGGTCTCTAACACTTTTGTAGTACTTGCAGGACATCTCTTATTCTTTGGAAAAATGGATCTAGGAAATCTGTACCATTTGAAACTCCAACAATATGGAGAGAACCACCAATGATTGTTACTTTTGTTTATGTCATGGTGGTAAAAACATTCTTAATTTCAATTCGAAACATAAAAATACTATTAAATACGCAAACGTAAAGTCAGTTATAAAGCCTACTCCTCACAGATCAAACAATCATATTCCTTTGTCCCCTGTTTCTAAACCATCTTACTCATCGACAAGTTCTCAAGAATCCTCTGTCCCAACCCATATTTTAGAGAAAATAAAAGAAGACGAAGAAGGAAATAAAAAAAAACGAAAACTAGGTGACAATGAATTTTTAGTAGTGTACAGTAACAAAGAACTACGAACTATATTCATCAACTGGAAAGCCCCACCCATTTAATCAAGCTAAATTGAATGATTGAATTCGAGATTTGGGCTTTTCCAAAGATAACTCAATACTATTAGCTTCAAGGTTACAAAAGAAAGATCTTTTACTTCCATAAGTACGTTTTACGTGATATAAACATCGTAAGGAAGAATTCATCCATTTTATTTTAGAAACATATTCATTAGTGTATTGTACTCGTAACAACGTTGAAGGTTTAATATTTGCTTTATGTCTTAAAACGTACAGTGCTGATAAATGGCGACTTTTCAGAGATTCGTCCTCGCATAGTTTATAAGCAGTTCTTCTTCATAATAGTAATCTGTATAGATCAGTTCCCATCGGATACTCAACAATCCTTGATGTATGAATTACATTAAAGTAAATAAATAGTAATAATAATAATAATAGTAATAATTATATGAATTACATTAAATACATTAAAGTATGAAAATACGAAGTTACTTTTAGAACAAATAGAGTATGTAAATCACAAATGGGTAATATGTGCAGACATTAAAGTTATATCTATTCTTCTTTGTCAGTAAGATGAATATACTAAATACCTATGCTTTATCTGTAAGTTAGATGGTAGATGATCTAAAACGCGGGCGCATTGTCAACGTCAACCTGGTGACACCACAGATCATCGATTTTAGAACACCAGTGACTAATCAACCAACCTTCACCGAGGATAAACGGTCGATCTACGTTTGAATATTTAGTGGTAAAGTAACTCTCGGCACTACTCATCAACCTCACAACACCAGCATCGCATCAAACTATAAATTAGCCGGTTCAAACTCATGCGTAATGGAGTGTCAAGATAACCGAGGATCAACCTTCAACGTCTGCAACTGCTCAATAGCTTTAAGAAGAAAAGTTACGGAGAGGTCCTTTACTGCTGCGTTACGATGGATGGGTTTGCTCGCACTGTACTGTTAATCGTTGTAAAAGGAAGTCCCACTAAGAAACACTAAATAGTACAAGAAGTCGCGAAAAAATCGTATTTACATAAAGAAACCTGTTTTACGTAACCTATTTCAACGTTTCAATAGATTTTTTATACTTCTTATAAAAAATGTAACTGTTATATCTTCTGCATCTTTTTCTTACTGATCTAATTGTGTAAATGAAAATTTCAGATCGAGCGTGTAAATCAAGACGTGTGGAAGTCGGCGCATGCGTGCTGATTTAAAAATGCTCTATTCATTGGTCACATGTGAGTTGATGCTCCCACTGATCCGATATCCCCTTTTGTTCTGATACTGCCTGATCTGACTTCTGTCTAGCTTACCTACTGGTCTTGTAGATTTCATACTTAATAGTTATAAAATAGCGATGTACATCAAACATCAATAAAATACTCGTTAATAGTTATATTATAGCAGTAGTAATAAAAGTAAAATTCCATATTATTCTTTTGCATAGTTTGATCTCTAATCATGTTCGCAACCGTGTTAACCTTTTTACATTGCTACGCTTCGTATCTACCAATAAGTGATTAACTTTTCAACTGTCTTGAGAATTATATAATATCCTTAAATATTTCATTTTCAATAACTCACAGATTAAAAAGTGACGCTCATTCTTTATAGATACATATAAAAAGAGGAATTTCGGGCACTCCTAAAATTCAAGACGGCAATAAAGACAGAGAATTATGTTTCCCACGTATATACTACGATTCGCTTTATATTTGGAGTTTTGTTTTAAAACTGTATAAATATTTAATCTAATCCTTTTTCCGGCCTATGCGTTATCCATCTTTCTACCATTCACCAATTAGTTATTTTGATTATGCTTTGTTATTTATCAGAAGCAATAGATGACTCATCTGATATAGTCAAATAACTCCATATAAAATTAATTTGTATTATATATGTGCTTTATTTCAGCATATAATTTTTCATCTGGAAGCCCAGCTGAAGCAGAACCAGCTTTGATTCATGCATCTACAAAAAGAAAACAACGGCGATATAGAACGACCTTCACAAATTTTCAATTAGAAGAATTGGAGAGGGCCTTTCAAAAAACTCATTATCCTGATGTATTTTTTAGAGAAGAATTAGCATTAAGAGTACAATTGACTGAGGCAAGAGTGCAGGTGAATAGAAATCATAATATTTTTATTGATTGCTTGTAAAAAAATGTAGGCATTTGCATAATCAAGTAAGTTCAAAACATCTTTATGATCATATATTATATTTTGTTTACTATAGTATTTATTCATTAAAGCAGATTCAATCAATTTTAGTTTTGATATACCATACACGATATTCCATTGGAATCTTCAATTAGAATGTGTCTAGAATAAGGAAATGAATTCTTCAAAATTTGAAATATAATCGTTTTCTTTTCAATTTGTCTGTTTTTAGTTTTCTTATGATATGTATACAATTGCGATACTTCGAAAAAACAAAATATATATAATAGATACACAAGAAGCATTTCCACGATAGATAAATTTTATCTACGCAATATTATGTTTTTATCAATAAACCTTTGAATAGCGAGGTTGTCTTATTGATTTTTGCTTTATTTTATATTGTATTAAACTGGTGTTTGTATTTATTCGATCAGAATCGATTATTATTATAGTATAATATAATAATAATTTTATACAATTATTATAATATAACATAACAAATAGTGAATTGTAACGACATTGGGCTATCATGCCCTAGGTGGCGTGGATGCCCTTATCTTTCTCCTCTTTTGTAAAATCCGAACAACTTCTGAATTTTAATTTGTTAAGGGGAGAGTGCAAATATTAATGAAACACTTTGTATGAGAAAATGACATGACGGCATAAAAAACCCAGATTCATTGAAAGGAATACAATACAAAACACAAAAAAAAAAGAAACGGTAAAAAAATATAGCAAGAAACCAAAAAAATGACTGTCACGAAGTGACACCGCTAATGTGCGCGCACACACACACTGACATGAAAACAATGTGGCCGAGTTGAATTTTCGGAAGACCATGTGTTCAAGCCTCGGCCTATATTTTTCAATTTTCCCCTCAACATATGGTTTTAGTATGGCTGGCTTCTTTTTCACTGAAGTCAAGGAATTCATGGTAAACAGTTGAGACGTCATAGCTTCACAAAGTAAATGTAAATATTTGGCCTCGTCTCCTATCTCGCCTATGTATAATTAAGACAGGTCGAATCTTGCTTCTTGTTAACTCACAACACGATTGTTCATACTTGTTTTATATTTTGGATTACAAGTAGCGATTGGAATCACATATTCTCTGACGTCACAAATTCACCTAGAATTGATCTCATAACTCATCAGAGGGTGACTCCTTATGGATCATTTTATCCCTTCTTTTAAAAAATAACATAATGGCAGAGAGCGCTCTGAACGCTCTAAGCAAGGGTAGAAAGATCAGTGCACCGGCTCTTTCAAGCCATTATTTCGTGCAGATCAACCAGCTTTGGATCTTACTGAAGTCTTCCAATTTTCTGTCACGTATAGAAGGACAACTACTAGTGCCTGCTGCCAAACTAAGAGTGTTTTCAGAGACATTTCCAGTGGCTTTCCCAGAGGCTTGCTCAGATGCCAAACTAAGAGAGTTTTCAGAGGTATTTCTAGTGGCTTTTCCAGAGAACTTTCCAGAGGACTTTCCAGAGGTTTTTCCGGGGAAATCGCTTGTGACTACAGGACCTGCTATCAAGACGAAACAGTTTCCAGTAGCTCTTCTTGAAACTTTTCCAAGTGAATTTTCCAAAGACTCTTTTCCAGTGAAATATTTTAGTGATCAGTGGCAGTATTCTCACTCCTGTCTTTAAGTCTGCGACTTCTTAACTCAACCATTCAAGATTTGTTTTCTTTTTTTTCTCTTATTTTCACCAAGATTAAATCTAACAATATCAACGATATATCAGACAGTCTTAATCGTGAACACCACGTGTTGCATGAAATGATGAAAAACTTCAATTTGAGTTCACACCATGTACAACTCAAATGCTGGAAGCAAATGAATATCATTATGAAATACACTCTAAAACGTATAATTGTTTAATGTCCAGAAGACGAGAGAATTTTGTTTTATACGACCGAATTCGATTATTATTTTATCATATTTTCAAATTCGCGTAACAAAGAAAGGTTGCGCAATATGTTAATTTGCGTCTTTAGGCTTTACTAGAAAGCGCAGATTATGTTGAACAGGACAAAGAAGAACGAGTTTAAGATGTTCTCGCGTGTTCGCGTGTTGAAAACCGAAATAGAACTGGCTCAATGATGGCGGGCGACCGGGCAGATGGCGAACGCTTAGCCACATCCGGCATGTGCTGCCACCACTCGGCGCCCCATTTACGCACTCACACACACAAGAAACCATGTTATGCCATAACTTTCGCTTAGAACAAAGTTTAATACATTTCTCTACCAAAACATGAGTTGGTTTTTATTTTGAGAAATTTTATGAATAAATAATCAATTTATATTAAATTTATAACAGCTGATCAAGTGATTATCTTTTAGCTAATCAAATCACAAATCAATTAGCTTCACTTTGTCAGGTTCCCTTTTTTAGAAATTATATTAATAGAAAGAAGCAAGTTCATTAATATTCGCATGTTGACAATATATTTGTTCTTATCATTACATTAAATCTGAAATATCTAAAATAATATCGTATTATTAAAAAAATTTGTATTTCCTCTGTTGATATTGATTAGATTGGCGGAAGTAGTGGAAGGAAAAAGTTAAATAGTCATACAAAGACAGTTTCTATGAGATTTGTTGAGTTTACATACACACACACATACACACACGCGCATAAGTATTAAGAAATTATTTAGTATGGGTATAGTTGGATCAACTTGAAACAATTCTTAAATCGTTTCATTATAATATTTACTACTAAATCTTGATGTGTTTCAATGGAGGTTGTTACTGATTTCAAATTAGTAAATATTTTAGTCGGTATAATCACTTACGTAATTAAATATCCTATTTGTTGGTGTTACGATCTAATAATGAATTATATAAATTAGTGAAAACTTACTAAGAAAACTTTATATTTGTTCAACAAATGGAAACTTAGAGTGAATGCGGTGGCCAAAAGCCAATATCATGCTTATATACAAACTATATAAATAGCCTCTCTTGAATATCGATGACGACATAGAAATTATAGATTTGATTCTATCTCCTGAACTCCATTCATTAATTAGCGTCTTGAACAATTTATGTAAATGTATTATCTGAGTGTAAAGAAGAAGAAAATAATTAATGGATTAAAGAATGCCATATTGATCGAGCAATTTATCTTTATAAATCTTCTTTCAATAAATATTCATCCAAAAATTTGTTAAAGAATACAAACATTTTACACGGAATTGTTGAAAATTATAGTTTAAAATACATTGTATGTTTCCAAGACTTTTTATTCGTTGTGGATACTTATTTTTCAAATATATTTCACGACAAATTTCAAGACTACATAAACAATTTTAAAGAAGCCTATGAGTTTGTTAATATTGGTATTACTCCGTAACTTTATACAGTGATTGACCACGGATTAGACTTTTGTTTAAAATTGTAGAAAATAAATTGGTACTTATAATGAGTATGCTATGGAATCTGTATATTTAGATTTTGAGAAAACATGGCAAAGATATAAAATATATTAATCATATCATCATTCAGCCTTTAATCATCGAGGTAAACAGATGTACCAATACTATGGTAATCCGACAAGTTTAAGTATTAGCTTATCCAGTCAAGTAACAGTTGAGTTCCTATTAGTATTCTAGAAAGACATAATAAAAAGACAATAACGGTCAGAATGGCTACTCTGATAGATAACATACTTTACTCATAAAAAAAACAACGATAAAAACTAGAAAATTGTAAGTGGCAAAAACCTGTAACCCAAACCATACAACCAAAATATAAACAGAAAACGACCAGCTTATTTACACGTATCAAATAACATCGCGTCACTACTTATTTGAAAGGAAAAGATACAGAAGGCGTATTCGCTCTACAGCGGAGGGCGCCGATAGGTTTTCGTCGCCGATCAATCGCGATAGCCGCAACTAATAGAACAAGAATCATCAATAAGAACAATCCTTCCTATAAACATTTCTTTTATTCGCATTTCTACTAACTGTCATTTATAAGATTTCCGACAAGACTTTAGCCTTACGAAAAGGCCGTGCGTGCTTTTCTTTCTGCAAGTGTATGAACCGAAGTCTAAACATCGTCTCATATATAACTACGAATAACGTGCGGATATGATGCAACTCAAACGCACTCACACCTAGTTGGGCGCGTCCCTTCGGTATTCACGGAGAGAAAGAAAGTAATGGACTCACAAAGGAAAGAGAGGTACCGACCTGAGACGGAATGGCGGTGATTCGGAGAGCTGCTATTGTTACTGCTGTCCGTCGTCAAGCCTGACAAGCTGTCACCGCTTCTCCTCAGCATGTTCTCATCCGCTGCTGCAGCCCGTTGTTGAAGGCAACGGTGGCTATTGTTCAACTCGACGTGGCCCTCCTCAAAACCTTGTGACGGGGCCCTGGCTAGAAAAGCTGGCCCTGTCTGGCTCGCTCTCTCTCTCTCTCTCTCTCTCTCTCTCGAAACTCGCTCCTTCGCTGTTGCCCTGGCGAGTGTTTGAAAATTACGAACCGATATCGATGCTCGCACCGCTTTATTTTAGGACCAATACCTGAGCCGGGCATCGTTATTGAGAGCCAATTGGGAGCGAGAGCGGCTGAAGTAAGAAGAAGAGAGAGAGAGATTGACGCGTCGCGAGTAGAGAGTGAGCGAGCGCGAGTGACCCGCGGCGATCCGCTCGCGAGAGTGAAGCCGCCGGCGTTGCTCGAGCCGACACGCGAACGATTAGGAGAGAGAGATCGAGCCGAGATCTTGAGTTAGACGGATCGATTGATGGTCGAGCGTGCGCACGCGTGAAAAATCAAATATTAAAGCAGAGACAGAGGAGCTAGACGACGCCGAGCAGAATACAGCCCGGAGAGGATTTCCATCGACACCTGAGGCATCATGGAATCAAATTGGGCTGCTGCAAGCCTACCAGTAGCTCCAGCAGTCTTTCCTGCCAGCAGCTCCAGCAGAATTCCCTG